TGTGTGTGTGTGTGTGTGTGTGTGTGTGTGTGTGTGTGTGTGTGTATGGTTTGAAGTGCAAAAGGGAAGGAAAAGGAGAGATGAGATGTGTGCTCGACCGTTGTCATGTCGATGTTGTTGCTGCTGCTGTTATCGTTTTAGGTGTGTTTGTGTGGTGAATGTGTGTGAGTGTGTGTTATCACTACTACTGCTACCACTGTCTACTACTGGTCACTCAGTCAGTTGCTATTCATCACATTCATCATCGTCATCATCGTCGTCGCCCATTTCTCAGTTCCCATTTCAGTCCATGAATCCAGTTGAAACCAGCTTGTCGAGGAAGAGCTTCAGATCGGTTAGCTCAGAGTCGCGGATGCCCATCGCCTTGAGGAGGCCCAGGTCGCCCGACTCGACGGCGATCAGAATGTTTCGCAGATGCTCCAGGTCGCTGCGCATCAGGTGAAGTGCCTTTCCAAAGTCCTCGATAGTTTCGCTCTCTGTGTTTAAGTTAATTTTGGCAAGAAAATTGTTGAGCCAAACGATCTTTTGTCAAACTTTCCTTCTACTATTGCTAACTTTGTTTACCTGAAAGTGCCACTGCCACCTTGTGCGAGCCACCGAGAGGCAACAGGGCGTCTCGCGCCTTTTTGCCAAAGAGCTTCTCTAGGTAGTTCGGGCCATGATTTGCCAGCAAAGTCTGCAAGAAGTTTGCTGTCTCTTCAACCGGCGGTCTTTTTGCTAAATATGAAAAGAAAGAGAAAAACGATAAATTCACTTTAATCAACTTTGCCTGTTGCACTGAAGAACGTCATTGCTGATTCAATCATTCAGGTCAGGGAATGTGTACTTTTAGTTTATTAGATGTCTTACTTTCTCTATCTTGTTTTTCTTGAGCACGACACTGATAGCCTACTTTGATATGCCACTGCCCTCTCCTTCCCAGGCATTTCCTGTCTGTTTAGTCTACTTTTTCTTGTCTTCCCCTGCTCCATTCAGTGCCGTGTTTGCTTTACTGTTCAATCTGCTGCCTCTTTGGTTGCTGCTCTTTATTAGCAGGGCAATTGCATTTGCTGCCAAGCGCTTCTAATTGATGAAGGAGGCAAATTTAGTTATCGAAATAAAATATTTACGCGTAGACACAGTTGCAGCCAAAGCATAAGCAGCTTCTCTGCTTTTGCTGGTGCTCTGCCTTTGCTAGCTCAGTTTAGCTATAATTTATTGGCTCAGCAAGAATTGCTCCTGCATTGGAAGCAACTACTGAAGAAGGAGGAAAAGAAGTAGCCATCTTCACTGACAGTGACACTGACGCCAGGAAACCTGTCTCTCTCTCCTGCCTGCCTGTCGCTCCTGTTCGTGTACCGTCAACAGCAAGTATCTAATCAATTATTTAGTCTTAATTATGTTGGGCTATGCCAATAAAAGGTTTATTTATATTAACAATGACATTTGAGGGGAAAACAGTGGCGGCAGAAGTTGGCAGCTGCAAACAAATATTAACATTTACACGGCAGATAAGCGGCCATTGGCAGGAAAGAGGTCACTCTAGAGACCTAGAAGTGTACTTCTCCCAGCAGTCAGTGATGGTCAGCCGAGTTGACTGTGGTGCACCTGTTTGCCTTTTTTATCGTTCTGCCTCATTGAAATTCAATTTTGCACCGAAACACAGTCAAACACTCTATCAACTACTAATTTGCACTTGAATGAAAAGTGATGTGTCCGTTTGAGTTTTAGGTATTGATCGGTGCCACTTTTTCTAAAGTAATACGCATGTTTCAAATTCTAGTGTGTCATTTCAATGAAAACATTTACATATCAAAAGTTGACCACTTACCTGCAGTGCAGAGGGAGCTGTTAAACAAAAAAAATCTTTTTGTTAAGCTTTTCGTTTACTATAAAAATTACGTTGCTTACCTGTCTTCATCATACCCGTCGTCGCAATCATTCGCGCCATCTAAAGTATAAAGAAAGATAAACAAATGTTNTGTGTCATTTCAATGAAAACATTTACATATCAAAAGTTGACCACTTACCTGCAGTGCAGAGGGAGCTGTTAAACAAAAAAAATCTTTTTGTTAAGCTTTTCGTTTTTTATAAAAATTACTTTGCTTACCTGTCTTCATCATACCCGTCGTCGCAATCATTCGCGCCATCTAAAGTAAAAAGAAAGATAAACAAATGTCAAGTAAGCATTAGTCAGTGCGAATTAGTGATTAGCTAGTTAGCTAGTCTTTGGACCTCCTGAATTCTTCATCAGGCCACCCTTGTGCTACCATTTGAAGCTGTGTGCATTGTGTGAACGTGAGTGTTTGTTCCTATTTACCCATCCTGTTTGCTGTTGTATCGCTCTGTGTCACTGTCAACTTGAGCCTACAAACGATGTTGTCCTACTTTCTCCCTTCTTCTTTTTTTCTTCTCTTTTGTTTTGCCCAACAACAGTAATTGCCTACTATTGACAATTGTTTCCCATTCTTCACCATACTGCACCAATTTTTTCTTCTTCTTTATTCTAACTTTGTGTTACTCCCCCAAACACACACTGCAAAGCCTACACCCTCAATGAATATTACTTCAATGGAAGGCATTGTCAATTGGCATTTTCCTAGCATTTCCTACTCCATTTCTTCACTCCAACACATGAAATGGACCTTTCCTCTACACATACACTTCACTTGTACTTGTATTTCAGCTTGTACACACAAACAGACACACTAGCTGGGTAAGTCAATATTTTGCTTGCGAATTTTAATTAGCAACCGCCGCTTGGGAGCACTTACCGCATAGGTACTGTATCGATATGCACTTCAACTTGTCTCCTGGACAGCGGAAAGGCTGTGTTGGGTGGCAACGTTCAGGATCTGTTTCAGAGGGGAAGAGAAAAAAGCAAAGGCCACAAAAAAGTTAGTATTTGAGAAAGCCAATTTTAATTTAGGTGCATAGAGTAAAAGTGAAGTGAAAAAAATGCCGCGTCAAAAACGCTGCCAAATGTGTGTGTGTGTGTGTCTATCCATTGTTCTGTTTGCACTATTTCTAGCCATCAGTGAAAGTACCTAGAGATGCAGAAGCAGCAGCAGAAGAAGTCGTATTCTCGAGCGGCTCACAATTCGTCACCGTTTCGTTCTCGTAGCAGTATCATCTGTAGCACCGTCTCCGTCGTCGCTCTCGACGACAGCACTGTAGTATTTTCCTTCAAATGCCATTAATCTTAATAAGGCAGACACGCATAAATATTTCATTGCCAGTTCGGGGTTGCCACCGACGCAGACCCTACAGCTGCTGCTGTTGCTGCTGTTCTCCACTGCCTCGTCGCCAAACGTTTCAAATGTAAAAAGGCACTCAACAAAGCTGCTGCCACTGCCAAACAACTGATGACAACTGCACACAGACACAGGTGTACTTTGCTCTCTCTCTCTCTCTTTCTCTTTGAACTAAGAGTAAAGCTACTTTGGCGCCCACTGAAAGGTGCCCAAGTAGCAGCAGCAGTAGAATACCGTTTACACTTGCTGAATGTCGGCTTAGGCAAGTTGGTGGTGGTGGTACTGGCGGTGCCGGTGATGGCCTGACTTTGCCGACCTCGTACCGGTGACGCACGGCAGAACATACTGGAACTGCTAACAGTGTCAACTCGAAACGGCTCAAAATCAGCCCACATTGTACTCATAACTGGACATAGTTGCTCACTGTTTTCTAAAAGTATCGGTTTGGCTGAACGCCAAGCATGAGTGTGCCTACTAAAGATTGCCTACATAGATTCACTTGAGTACCATGTTTTCACTTTTCATCTATCATTCTTCTAGTAAAACCTGTTTTGAAATGCTAATGCTAAGAAATCATTAGCTTTCAGGCCATTGAGCAAAGGTAATCAGCTGTCTATATAAACACCAGCATGAAAATAGAAACAAATGCAATGCAAATGAAAGCACCTTTTGATGCGGCAGTGCTCTTTTCCCGTCTTTCAAGTAAAAATCCTGTTCGTTTTCTTTCCTTTAGCTCTATTATTCTATTCCGTCACCACCAATTATACTGTCTTTCTCTTTGTTTNGCTCTTCCGATCTAAACAAATGCAATGCAAATGAAAGTACTTTTTGATGCGGCAGTGCTCTTTTCCCGTCTTTCAAGTAAAAATTCTGTTCGCTTTCTTTTCTTTAGCTCTATTATTCTATTCTGTCACCACCAATTATACTGTCTTTTTCTTTGTCNAAACCTGTTTTGAAATGCTAATGCTAAGAAATCATTAGCTTTCAGGCCATTGAGCAAAGGTAATCAGCTGTCTATATAAACACCAGCATGAAAATAGAAACAAATGCAATGCAAATGAAAGCACCTTTTGATGCGGCAGTGCTCTTTTCCCGTCTTTCAAGTAAAAATCCTGTTCGTTTTCTTTCCTTTAGCTCTATTATTCTATTCCGTCACCACCAATTATACTGTCTTTCTCTTTGTTTCCCTTCAATTGTAAGCTTGTAATTAAATGTCCCTGTCCTGTTCTTAATTATCTACACACAAACGCACACACAATGGGAGCAGTGCACAGCGGGCCGTGAAGGGCAGTGTGTCAACATTTGCGGCCACTTACAACAGCAGTAGTCTAATAAATGCATTGCAGTGAAGCATCCCTTTGTCGCACACTAGTCGCCTATGCCCCTTGCTCTAACGTGTGAATAAGAAAAAATTAGATAAAATAAAATAGATAGGAGTATTGCAATTAGAGGAAAGAATAGGCAAGAAGAGGCACAAAAGACAGCAGCAGCAACATTCATTATTCTGTTCCTTGAAACAGCCAGCAGTGTCTGCTGCTAATGGCACCTCTGCAAATCGGCCTAATTACTGTCGAGTACTCACTGAGCGCCCCTTTGTATAGTCCTTTTAGCTGTTGCAACATCAGTACCAATTTTTCGATTTTTTTCCATTTTGTTCCTGGTCTCTAGTTGCCTATTTGTCACACACTTTTGCACTCATGTCGCATGCCCCAGTGCATCCAGTGCACCGTCACCTTCTGACTGCATCTCTTTTATTCTATCTACCATTTTCTCCACTAGATCCGATTTGATCCAATTTAATTTAATTTGCTTAACTTTCAGTGCTTGACTGTGACTGCGGTAGTGCCTGTTTTTCTTTGTGTGCATAGTAGTGCATAGTGCTTCTCTCGGCCCAGTAAGCCTTAAAAAGCAAGCAACTAAACTACGGTTAACTGCCCTCAAACACACACCTTGACTCGAGCAGGGCAGCAGTCATTCAGTCAGTAAACTAGCCAGCCAGCTTGATAGCAAAATGTTTGTATAATTTGCTGCGATTAATTATTCATTGGCGTATTATTAATATTTGCTTACATTATTTATGACTCAGAAAACACACATAAAGCAAGCGAGCAAGTGACAGTTGTGTTGCACGGTTGCAACAACCAACCTCACTTCAACTCACCAACTATCATTACTGGCACTTGCAATGTCACAAACATACCACAGGCTGCAGGCACCGTTAGGGGATAATTATAATTATCGATTTGTTGCTGGCACAGTCAGGCAGACAACCAGACAGGCAGGTAGAGCAGACAGACAGGTGAAAAAACCTATCTGCCGATTGTTTTTTCTCTGTGAACCTAACCGCCGTGTCCGCTGCTGGGGGCTGTGCTGTTGTTTGCAATAATTTGGTTTGCTGATCATCGTCATCGTCATTCGCTGTGCGTAACAGTGAGCTAACAGTATTATTTCTAGGCACACTACTACTATAGCAATTGTTTTCTACTGACAACGCCAAACACACCGGTTTACGTCATTTGTTGTTTTTTATATTGAGCAAAAAATGAATAAAAAAAGTGCTTTCAGAATTCAAACAAAAAACAAAATTGACACTTACTACTCTTTTTTATAAAAACATTTTTCTCAGAACACTTAGTTCTATTTTTGACTAATACAAAGTATATTCAAACAGCGGTAACTGATAACTCAATCAGCAATTTAAGCCCTTCAAAAAAGGCAAAAAAGGCAAAAACGGTGCCGGTGACATTTTAATTGTTTAGCTTTTGGGCTCCAGAGTAAAGGTTTGTTTCTAGTACGCCTTAGCACCTTTGTAATAGAATGAAAACAGCAAAATGTTTTTATTTTGTTTTCCAAAAGCTAGTAAAATGTATTTAATTTTCCATTTTCATTCTTTAATTTTAGATTATCCATTTTTTATTGCACTTTTATTCTTTTTGGCTAGGCACACAAAACGAAAATGACGCTTTCATTGAGGTCGTTAGCAGCAGGTTTGTGTGTGTGTCTGTGCATTACGTGTGAGAGAGTGCACGGCAGTGTACAGTGGTAATTCTAAGCTTAATCGAAATGAAGACTCTGAGCATTACGCTCTAACGGTGATTAAGGAAAAAGTCGTAGTGCACTGGCGATCGTATGCGTTCGTCTGCCTGCCGTTTGAGTGCCCCTTGGTGTGCCAATTACGCTGAGCAAATTGAAGTTGCTAAGAACTGCAATGCTACTTTTAGCAACTTTGATGTAGAGTGAAGTATTAAATAAAACAGAAACGACTGACTGTTTGAGTAAGGTTGATCGAGTCATAGTGATAATGTTTTCTTGTTTTTATTTTCCTTGACAAAAAGACTACTCAACACACATTTTGAGCCCTCAGTTTGAAAACGACACGTTTTCACTCGATTACCCTGCATGAATTTTGTCTGGTCTTCCCTCTCACACTTGCCTGCACATCCGTCTAAAGCCAATAAAGCCGCTAAATTATTCTTTTCTTTTTGTTTTTTGGCGGATACAAATTCAAATTGCCGTTTGAAATGTACTCGACGGCATCGGCTAACCCAACTACCGACACTACTCGACTCAAACAAGCCTCTGACAAATTGTCGTCGTCGTCGTCATTGCCGCCGCATCGCCACAGGACACCGCCTGTGCCTTTCTCTCATTCGGTACTCTATTTCACTCTATTTCAGCAATCTCTCTTGCAATCTCTCAACTACTGCCCAATTATATTTGCCCGACAAAATCTGACAAACGGCAGCAGTCTCCTGCCGTTTGCCGTAAAGACGACTACAGCAGAGTCAGCGGTGGCAACTGACAGAATTGACAATCACACCGAGAATGCGAAATGAAAGGGAAAAAGGGCGCAGCACCTCAAAAAAGAACGACCGTGAAACTTACCGTCTCGTTTGACATTTTGCATATTTCGGTGTAACATGTTTGAGAAGTCAACCAAATATGCTCCTTTTGCCAGTCCAAAAAAGACAAAGACGATGATGGGAACGTGAGAGGCTCGCAGAAGGTAATTCATCTTGGCGGTTGTTCTTTTTCTTTTCCTTTTGGTTTTGCACTTTTGGCTCGGAAGTAGTGTTTGATTTGAGTGGTTGATATGGCTAGATATAGGTTCTAGCACCAGAGAAGATGCGATGTGAATTAGTGGCTGACAAGGGCTGCTGCTGCACGTGTCAAAGACGGTGAATGGCTGATTCTGTTAAAAGGATGGAAAAGCAGGTAAGCAAATAGCACTTGATGTCTAAGTAAAACCGTGTCTGTGTGTGTATGGCACTGACCTCAAAGCCTGTCTGAGCGCGGACCTTTTAAGCTATTTGAGGCAAGATGAAGACAAAGAAGACTGGAGCAAGTGGAGCCAAAGTGGTCGGAAGTCGGCGGTAGTAGCAGTCGTGAAACGTGCCTCACTTTCAATGAAAGGAAGAGGAAAAGAAAGAGACGAGTGGAAACGAGAAGAGAAGTAAAACGATGTTGGACAGCGTCAGTGGCCTTTGTTCAAGGAGACGGGAGGAAAAAGTGCGCACAGGAGACTGCTTGAATGACGATTTCCGTACGTGAATGGGAATTGTAATTTCTGCTTTCTGCTTTTTGCTTTCTCTAGACACGGT